ATCAAGGAAACACGGTTTCCACAGACAAAACCAGCCGGTGGCTCAAAAATCCCGAGATGCTGCGGACAAACCGCGATAGGAGTTAGCAGCAAAAATTAAAGCAGCTTCTCCGCAGAATTAGGACGGAGATCCCCGGGAACGCAGCGCATCCAGGGGGGCACAGACGCAAGCATCTCTTTAGCCCTAAAGCACAAAATTGGCTTAACCCTCATTTTGCTGATAACCAGGAATGAAACCATCAGTGAGTACAGGGGACAGGCTGCGGCAACTTTCTACCGCGGTATCAGCATCTAAGACTTGCCCGAGGACACCTGACCCACAGGTTGGATGGGACGCCAGTACAGCGGGTCTTCACCTGTATTTTCCTCCTATCCAACACCGGGATTTTCCCGGCCCGGGCAAATCGAGGCAGCTCGCACTATGTGCCCGCGCCAAGTGCGCGTGAAAATCTGACACGTGCCCGGGAAAGGAGAGACACAGCTGCCTCGTATTTGTGTTTGTATCGCCTTGCTTGAATAGCCGCGAAGAGTGAGTCGCTGATCAAGCGTCCTAAACGAGCCAGGAGAGTAAATGCTGTCTGTACTTGGCGGGGGTTAGCTGCAGGGAAACCAGCGCTCAGCGCGGGGCCCGCCGCACCCGGGCACCCGCACCCGCGGCGGAGCCCCGCTGTCCCCGTCCAACCCCGAGGCAGCTCCCAGGGATGATTTTCCCCGGAGGCATCAGAGTCGGAAAGTTCAGCGGGACAAATCCTGGTTTGCAACTGCGGAAACGTGGCCACTGAAAGGGTGTGCGCGTGTGCGGGGCTCCACACCAGCGGGTTTCCCCGGAGCTCGCCCCTGGGTTGAGTCCTGCCAGCTTGCCCGTGACACGGGGCCACCAGCCCGGCTGCCGGCAGACTCCGCACTGGGGCGGGGCAGGGGGCACAGCCCAATCCGTCCCTGCCCGAGGGGCTGCGCCTGGCACAGCCCCAGGGTTGAGATCTTCAGCTTCCCAGCAAATGTCCGCGACTGACTCCGGAGCATCCCAGGGAAGAGCTGAGCCCTCTTTAGGGACACGAGGCTGGTGTGGACAGCGGCAGGGGGCCGGGCCCGGCTCAGCCTGGGACCCAGGAGTCCGGGGGGCAGGAAGGGAAAATCCCAGACGCCCAACCGCAGGCAGTGATACATGTGCCGGCGATTAAAGGCTTTTTAATTACAGGCGCCCTGAGGAGCTGGGCAAAGAAAAGGCATTTCCGAAAGAGCTCAGGGCCAGATCCTGCCTCCTGGACGCCCCAGTGTGATCGGGATTCACGCCCGCAGCTCGCCGGCTCCTCCAGTGAATGCGGTTTACCTCCAGCCCTGCCCTGGGGGATCCCCGCCTGGGACAAGGAGGTCATTAGAGGCTCTAGGTATTTGTTTCCACCATGGCCGGGAGTTTTCAGAAGAAACTTCTCGTGCTTACATTTCTCTCCTTTGCAGAACATCGAAGAGGAAAAACCCTTTTAATTATACAGGCTACAACTTCCCCAGCTGCAGGGCAGAGCTGTTCCTGAGAAAGTAGCCAGACTTTTTCTCCCCCATGGATTGGGGGGGGGGGGGAATCTTCAAATTATTACTCCCATTTCTCCTGAATTCACCACCCCGCCTCCATTTGAATACACTATGATTTTTCAGCCTAAAAAAACCTGCTCAGTGTGTGTGTGTGTGTGTAGAGACACAATCTTCAAGAAGGTCACAAAAGCCTCCCACAGTCCTATAGTGGTTAAAGAATATTTGCGAAACCCTGAGAGCCCCTTTGTCCAACAATATGATGCTTTAAAACATTTCAAGAAATTAAAGGTAAAGCAGGTCCACAAAAGCAGCTTTTGTAGGGCTGCAGTAATAGCCCTGCCCTTCTCCGCCTGGGAATGTGTGTCACCATTTCAGAAGCATCTTCCCAAATCAAGGCAGAGTTTTGAAAGGGTTGTCCCCCCCCTTGATTGCTATGACATACCTGAGAAGCCTCGTTCCTTTATTACCACCACACATTCTTGGCTAGAAGAAAAATGCTTGCCACTAGTTGCTATGGTTAGCCAGGGTGTCAAACATAGCTCAAAGAAATGTAGCCCCTCGCTGCAGTGCAAGGTTTCCCCCAGGGAAAG